TTCTCTCTCTCTCTCTCTCTCTCTCTCTCTCTCTCTCTCTCTCTCTCTCTCTCTCTCTCTCTCTCTGAATCTATCGAATTCTTTGAACCCGGAATCCCTCCATGTGGCAATGTACCGTTTTGTGTACTGTCGGTCTTGCTTTACGGTTTACAAATATTTCTATTCGTTTTTGTTTTTATTATGTACTTTCATATTGTCCGGTTGAGTTAAAATATCAACGCACTACTCCTTCTTTTTCTCTCAGCCTTGACAAAGATCTGGAACAACAGCTGGAGGTGAAGACAGGGCCAGCGATGGACAACCCAAAATGTGCCCGCCCTGTCTTCAGCTCGAAATCGTGCATGTACGAGCTGAGCCTCACGCATAACTACATCAAGGTGAGTTCTGCATGCGTGTTTTCAAATATAATAATGTGGTCGAAATGTACTTAAGCAAAGTGGTGATGGTCATAAGAAGATATGATTTCTTTGTCTTCTAAAGTTTCATGAATTTTCAATTTCGAATGGGCTTAAAATATGTCACCAATCTGTATGCAGGTGCTCAGGCGTGGTTTGCGTCTGTTTCCCTATCAAGCACCAACCGTCCTTATCTCCTCTCCTTCTTTTTCTTTTTCTAGTAACACCTTTAGCCTTTGGCACTTATACGATCTAATACTGTTGTTATTTTACCTTAAAAAACTTTTACTAAAAACATCTTCATCAACAGCAACAGCAGCAACGACAACAAAAACAACAACTATAACTACAACAAGAACAACAACAACAACAATAATAATAATAATAATAATAATAATAATAATAATTATAATAATTATAATAACATCAACAACAACAACAACAATAATAATAATAATAACAACATCAAAACAACGACTCCCAATCTGTTGCAGGTGCTGCTCATCGACTATGTCCACAACCGGCTCATCTCGTGCGGCACGCTGGCCCATGGGTACTGCGAGAAGCGCCTGCTGACGGACATCAGTCAGAGAGACGAGCCGGTCAACGACACGCCCGTGGTCACCAACAACAGGACGGCGTCCACCGTGGCCTTCATAGCACCCGGACCTTCGCCAAACGCTTCGGAGCCGCAGCCCAATGTGCTCTATGTGTCGGTCACGTTTTCGCTACAGGTCAGTCGTTGGTGGGGATGGTTTGGTTTTTGAGCTATTGGCGTCATGATTGGTTTTAGTGAAGGATGTCCTGGTCCGAAACTTCTGTAGTTTAAGAGGGATTTTCTTAATGTGTGTGTGTGTTTGTGTGTATATTTGTCTATGTGTGTGTGTGTGTGTGTCTATGTGAGTGTGTCTGTCTGTGTGTGTGTGTTAGTGTATGTATGTTTCCCACACGAAGCATGGTTTTATTGTTAATGACTCTATTGTAGCCATACTGTGAAAAAAGAAGTGTTAAAGTTCCCTCTTCTTTTCTCTCCCTCAGTTAGTTGTTTCTATCTGCCTTACTTTTTTGGGGTCACGAAATGACCCCATTATGTCAACATGCTTGTCTTTTTTCAAAACTCAGACTCAGTATTTCCCTTCGCTACAGGTGCGGGACGTGCCATCTCTTGCAAGCCGCAAGCTGTCGGACTTCAGCATGGCTTACGAAGACGAGATCAAGTTCACCGGCACCTTCTTCAACTTCGACAACCAGCAGCGCCGCCAGTTCCCGGTCACCTACATTTATGGCTTCGGCTCGGAGAACTTCAGCTACATGCTGGCCGTCCAGAAAACCTCCAGCGGCTCGGAGAACTTCCAGTTCCACTCCGTGGCCATCCGGGTCTGTCAGAACGATAAGGATTTCTACTCCTACGTCGAGGTGCCTCTGGTGTGCAAGGCCGGCGGGGTGGAGTACAACCTCGTGCAGGCTGCCTACGTGGCGAAGGCGGGCAGGGAGTTAGCCTTAGATCTCGGGATCAACACTCAGACGGACGTGCTCTACGGCGTCTTCTCGGAGAGCAAGCAGCCCAACTCGGACATGCCCACCACCAACTCGGCGCTGTGCGTCTTCCCGATGGACTTCGTGCGGAACAAGTTCACGCTCAATATCAAGAGATGTTTCAACGGCACGGGCAGCGATGGAGGGAGTCACTTGGGCCGTACCAAGTGTACCCGGAACACGGTGAGTGAGGGGAGCCGGGGAGCACGGCATGTGATCTGCCATTTGTGTGGTCTTCTTTATTTTTAAAAAGTTTTTGATGTCTTCTTTCAAATATTGTCTGGTAGTGGCGAAGTGACGCCTTTGTTGGGCTTGTTAAATCGGAGACAACAGCTAAATAAGACTTATACTGTTGCGAGTGCCGTTAAACCTCTAATAAAACAAACAAGCTAAATAAGATGGAAAATGGAAAAGACCACTTAGTTTTTAGTTTTCGTTTTCTTGTTCGCAAGAGGAGAAGGAGAAAAAGATAAAGACAGGATAAAAAGATATCCACGATTACATGTCAAAACACTGACCCAGATTACATATGATTATAACAAGGAGGGAGGGTGGAATAGATGTGAACTCAGTGACTTCTCTCGCAGCCGTTGATATACTTTTTTTTCTCTTTAAAACTGGCATTTGTAAACTATTGTTCGAATACCACACATGTGATTATTATAATGAGAGGGTATAGTGGCAAGGGAATAACATGAAAGGAAAGGAGAATGGAGATTTCCCCCATATTTCAGTCAGTCTTTGGGACAAGGTGGAACTTGAGTGGCAAGGTGGTGTGAGTGTCAAGGTGGTGTTAGGAGGGGGGAGGGGAAGAAGGGGGTAAGTAATTTATTTTTATACAGCTCTTATATTGCACGTACCAAATCCCATATACTAACTCTCCCCCATTCTGCCCCTCCCTCCAGTTTTTTTTAATGAATCAGTAAATAAACGCTTTTTTCTCTCCAGGAATTCACAATAACTGACGAATATTGCGGGTCAGATTCGAACCAGCCCTTGGCGGGTAGTATCCCCATCGAGGGCCGCTCGGTGCTCAAACTGCCGGCCTCCACGCCACATGTGAGCGCTCTTCGTGTGGCAGTCACTCACGCCTACACGGTGGCGTTTGTAGGCACCAAGAATGGAGACGTCCTCAAGGTAATTTTGTAAAAATAAAACCTAAATTATTTCAAGGACATGATGCACGATAAACTGTCTTTTTAACTTGAATATTTTCATAATTTTAGAGAACTCATTTTCACGGAATGGACTATATTGGATGGAATAACGATTTTGATGATTTGAGCATTTTTAGTATACCCACGAATGCCTTCGTTCTGATCTTGGATCCTAGGTGAGGTTGGTACGGTCGCCTCGTTTGAACCTCCCTCTTTGCAGCTACTTTGAAAGAACCCCCCCCCCCCCCCCCATACGTCTGTGCCTGTATATCTTGGCGGGAGTAGCTCTTAAGCACAACTGAGCTACTGTTAAAAATAATTTGACTCAGTACATAACGGAGATTTTGGGGGTATTTTATTCCACGGGTTTAGGGGGGGGGTCTGTCTTTTTTATATCTGTCTCACGTTTTTAATAGTTTCTGGCTCCATCCCTCTGTGGTGAGACATATAGATCTATTTAATTATATGAACAATTTTGTTTTTGGCGAATCCGCACGCTTCCGTGATGTATTAGGTGAAGTGTTTCAAAAACACACACACACAAAAAAAACAAATTTTCTAGTTGATTGAATGAGGAACTAATGTTTACTACGTCCTCTCCAGATGTCTCTGGAGTCGAACCTGACGGGTCACGTGTACGAGACGGTGTCCGTGGTGCCGGGCCAGGAGGTGAAGAAGGATCTGAGCTTTGACGAGGACCAGTCTCATCTCTACGTACTGTCCGAGAAGAAGGTAAGGAGGCTGTCCGTCATTCACCACACACACACACACACACACACACACACACACACACACACACACACACAC